ACAACTGCACTGAAATCATTTCAATTAAATGCGTGGTTGAAAAGCTGACATAATACATTGAATTGCCAACTTGTGTAAAGTGAATAAGCTATTTAATAATTTGGAAATAACATATTCCATTTAAACTTCCTTCTCTATAACCAATTCAATATTCTGGACCTTTTGGGTACAGCCATTTGAAAGCTTTTCAAAACTTTCCACTACTTTTTTTTTTTTTTTTGAGATGGAGTCTCTCTCTGTCGCCCAGGCTGGAGTGCAGTGGTGTGATCTCAGCTCACTGTAACCTCCACCTCCTGGGTTCAAGTGATTCTCCTGCCTCAGCCTCCCGAGTAGCTAGGATTACAGGCACCTGACACCACACCTGGATAATTTTTGTATTTTTAGTAGAGACGAGGTTTCACCATGTTGACCAGGCTGGCCTTGAACTCCTCACCTCAAGTGATCCACCCACCTCAGCCTCCCAAAGTGTTGGGATTGCAGGCATGAGCCACTGCACCCACCCACTATAGATTTTTATCTGTAGTAGATTTAGTTCAGTAGGGCATTTGAGAGGTATAGGAACTGGAACAAATCCTTCACTGTTTGGAACTGCCTTGCATATTGTAGAACATCCAGTAGAGCCCCTCCCACAAAGTGACAGCAGCAGCCTCAGGCTGCCCAAACACCCTGTTCAGGACAGTGCCACTCCCAGGAAGAACCACAATCATAGGAGAAGCATACAACAAATGTGGTGTTCATCGGACCGGCAGCTTCAGTGGCACTTTTGAGCAAACGCGCTATTAGGTTATAGAATGAGTCCCCAGCGGAGCACCCAAAAGGCGAAAGGCTGACGTGTGACTCATCCCTAAGACCTGTGTGAATGCTGAAGGCCCCTCCTCCTCCAAGCCAAGTGGCAGCTTTCCAGTACAGACTACTTAAACTGTGACTTGAAGAATTTTCTTCACTTTTTCCTTGGAGTCATTCTTTTTTTGATCAAGCTGTGATAGACTGAAGGACTCTCTCAGAGTCTGCTGTCACATCCTTCCTTCAGAAACAGAAAGAAAGTCAGGCCTGGCTTGAAGAGTTTGTCCTCAAGCATCTAGTAAGCCATAGGCATCAGCACCTCTCACTTCTCCAGGACACTTAGATGTACCCCCCATGGAGGATCATGGCAAGGGGACCTCTGGTTTTACTAGGGCTTCCTTCTGGGCACAGCCACATGGGCACGGGCACTGCAGTGTACAGCACACCTCCTCCAGATTCTGGAAGACTCTGTTATCTAGAAAAGCACTGAGGAATGGAGAAGGGCATTCCTCTGGGGTGGAGATGGAAAGAGGAAAAGGAAGAGAGAATCTTAGCAAAATGAGAGAAGGTGAGGGACAGCAGACTTATGAAGGAGAGGGAGAGAGCAAGAGACTGGGTTGAGATGTCTTGTACATGGGGGCATCCATGTGGCTTCGCTCCCCTTTCTTTTGTATCACTTGATTTCCCCTGACTCTTCCTAAATACCTTCTTATTGGCTGCAAGATTCAGAATGCCTGGAAGCTCAGACTTGCTGACAGCATTTCAAGACTTGGATAATGACATGTAGATTGTATTTGTTTCCATCTTGGGGATGTGGAGCAGCCTCCAGAGCTGCAACAGCCTGCCTTGTTGCAAGAATATTTTCAAAGACCCTCACGCTCTGCTCACTTGCTCTGTGCTGCTGGGCACAGTGGTGTGGCCATCCAGGGTGGCTGAGACCACCTGGGATGTGGAAGTTACCAGCATCCTGTTTTGCTCTTGCTCTTTAGCAGCGGTTGCCAAAGCACATGAAGCATTCTGGGAATCTGGATTTCTATTGTTTCTCCCAAATGGGCCCTGAAGGGCAACAGGCAGCAAACATGGACCGCATTTTGCCAGAAAAGTCCAGAAAGAAGATGGCTGCTGTTGTCAACTATTGGTATTTCAACAGGACCCTATTTTTATTTCTCAGAATATTTGCACAGCTAGGAAGCATCTGCTGACAAGGATGAGATGATACGCTGTATTGATGCCAAAACAGGACTAGAAAAACAGGCTTGTTCGCAAATGGCCTGCACCCTGAGAGTCCGTGTAAGAACCTTCTCTCTGTAGGCAATATCTGCTCTTAAAACATTAACACTTGAAAGGAAGTAAGGCCTGGAACCTTTAGCATAGTCATGCACATACTAGGTTCTCAGTAAGTGCATGCTGGAGAAAGGAACCCACATGCACCTTAAGGCGGATGGAACATTGGCAGCCCAAGAAAAAATGTCACTCCCCAGAAGCTGAGTGCCATGTCTTTGACCTCCACCGGCAAAATCACAAAGAAATGCCGACTCTCGGGGTCGCTGAGGTCCCAGCATGGTGTGCCTTCGCACTGTGCAAACAATAAGAAGAGAAGTGATACACACGTCTCACCTTCCCAGGCAGGGACATCCAAGCTGTTTGAGTCTCTGTTATGTGGTTTCCTTGAAGAAGAAAGGGATTATTGGTGAATGCGGCCGGCATCCTGGGTGGGAATAAAAAAGGAAATTGGTAGAAAGTACATCAGCCAAGTTGGACTAAGTCAGCTCTGTGGCTTGGGCAGGTTCCTAGGATATCCAGCCGAGGCAGGGGCTCTAGCGGATGTGAGGCTGCACTGTGTTTGATGACACAGAGGACTGTGAGAGGCAGAGATGAGGGGAGGTCAGCTGAGGCCCTCCCAGCCCCAACCCCCAGTGCACACTTTCTACTGTCTGCCATGTCCAGGCCAACACCTCGGCCACAGGATGTTTGCCCATTTTTCTGACAGACACATTCTTTTTTTTTTTTTTTTGAGACGGAGTTTCGCTCTCGTTGCCCTGGCTGGAGTGCAATGGCGCGATCTCGGCTCACCGCAACCTCTGCCTCCTGGGTTCAGGCAATTCTCCTGCCTCAGCCTCCTGAGTAGCTGGGATTACAGGCACGCACCACCATGCCCAGCTAATTTTTTGTATTTTTAGTAGAGACGGGGTTTCACCATGTTGACCAGGATGGTCTCGATCTCTTGACCTCATGATCCACCTGCCTCGGCCTCCCAAAGTGCTGGGATTACAGGCGTGAGCCACCGCGCCGGGCAGACACATTCTTTCTCTACCAACAGCCCACATAGAATATAAGTGAAGTAATTCAACAATTTCCTTCTTAGCCTGCTGTCTCTCTGCTACTTACTCATTCTGTGCTGTTTGCTTTAGATCAGAGTGCCCCAGGGTACCAGAAGCCGCACCGGAAGTTGAATCCTATTCAACTACGTGGAAGTCAAGATCCCAACCATTCTGGTTTTGTTGTTATTGTTATGTTTGTTTTAAAGCTTAGCCATTTTCCATTCTGGGCAATTACAACTCTGTTTACTATGAGTTCCTCTGTGTAGGTGTTTCTCCCATTCCCAACCTACGAACTGTTACGTGAGCAGTAACTTGTCACCATGTTATCCCCATAAAGTCAGGGATTGATAAACTTGGGAGCATTTAGCTCTTAAAGGTGCTAATGAGGAAGGGGAGAGGGCAGGAGAAGAAATAGATTTGTGAGATGGTCAATGGGCTGAATAGTGGTATGACCAAAAAAGTGTTGCTATAAATACACATAATCTGGAAAAAAAAATACTGTCATTGCTCCCTGCAAGGGGTGTGGTTAGGCAGGATGGAGCTTATTTCTGGAATGTTAGAAAATGCATTCTTATAGTCCCCAAAAAGCCTGTTTCATTCTGCCCATCTCTTGTTCTCAGTACTTCTCACCTCATTGTCACTCACTTTCTTCCTGCCCTTGGGTTGAGGTCACAACTGCTTGTAATAGAATTTTTTCAGCTACAGGCGACAGAAATCCCACTCACATTATGTTAAGCAAAAAGGGGATTCATTGATACATGTGTTAGGAAGGTTATATGAAAGATCAAAGGTCAAATGAAAAAAATGTAAGAACTAAGACCTTGTGACTACTACCTACTACCTGGATCTTTCTTCTCTTCTCTCTCTCTCTGTCTCTCTCCCCCCTCTATCCCTCCCCACTACACACAGTGTCACCTCTGCTTGTTGTCAGTAGGTTCCTTTCTGCAGACAGGAGTTCCATGTGCTGGGAAGGGGGCCATTCAGAGCCCCCTAGTCTCAGCCTCCCAGTTTAGCAATGCTAGGGGAAAGAACTTCTGTCTCACAACCTCATATACAATCTCAGAAGTAGGCTCTTATTTTCTAGCTTGAGGCTACTACTTTCCAGAAGCACCGGGCGCTGTGATGGTCTCACTTTCTGTCCTGGGTCTCTCTGTGGCCTACGGAGCAGAATGTATTTCAGAAAACAAGCAAGAGAGGAAAAATTTATGTGGCCGTAAAAAAGTGATTTTCAAGGTGGCCTATACCCATCCATGTCATACACTTTTCTGCTGAGGCTGAAAAGTGCTTAGACTTCAAATTTGATCTAAAACAGAAATCCTACTTGGAAAAATCACCTTCCAATCACTTAGCCAATTGCTCATCATTCTCTTGACTCTCACCACGAGTTTCATACATATCCCGAGAGAGCGTCTCCTTTATCATTACCAGATGTGGAGTCAGCAGATTGTGTTCCATCTAAGCTCTGCCTACCTACTATCCGAGTTCCCCAGCAGGTTGCTGACTTTCTCTGCCCTTTAGTTCCTTGATGTGAAAAGGAACAACAGTGGCTGCTCACATGGCTGTCAATTACATTACATGAACAATTCATGTTGGTGTCAGACCTGTCTGAAAAAGTGTGGCCCATGTGGCCATGACAGTCCCAAGGCTAACAGCCCCTTTGTAGGTCATGGCTCACACAAAGGAGCCCCCCTTGGTTTTCTGGTGCTCTGAGACTTGCATATGCATTCGGAATTTTACATTGTAACTCAGTTTCAAATGGGTCCAGGACGTCCCCATTGCTAGATTTCTGTGCTAGGGAAGGGCACTGGCTCATTATTACATCCCATGAACACTCTGGGTCTCCTAGACCTCATCCTCTTTGAGCTTCTCTCTCTCACTCTCTCTCTGCGCATTCAGGAGTGTACACATTTCTGTCCAGCACCCTGAAGTCTCTGGAAGAGAAGGACCATATCCACCGAGTCCTGGACAAGATCACAGACACTCTGATCCACCTGATGGCCAAGGCAGGCCTGACCCTGCAGCAGCAGCACCGGCGGCTGGCCCAGCTCCTCCTCATCCTCTCCCACATCAGGCACATGAGGTGAGGCATCTGCGGGCTTCCTACAAAAGAGACATAAAGAAAACATGCTCCCAAACCTATGTGAAAGCTGACCGGGAAGGACTGGTGCCTGCATATGGAGAACGTACTTATGACAGTTCCTGGTACAGAATAAGCATAAATGCTATGGGAGGACAGAAGAGAGAGATTTTAAATCTGCATGGGTCATGGGGCAGGTGTCAGAGAAGGCATAGAGGAAGTGATACTTATGCTTGGTTTAAAGCATGTGCTTTCTGGCAGGGGTCTAGGGATTGGGTGTGGTATGCAAACAGGAGGAGGAAGCCAATCAGGAGAAGTCTGTGAGCGTACACATTCCCTGAAGACACTGGGCACATCGTTATGGTCCCTTTTTATACTCAGATATCCTAAATGAGAGACCCTGGGGCCAGATGCCTCACGGAGAGTCAATGTTAACTCCTTCATATCTGTTGAACCCCATTTCTGTTGGACTTCTCTGCCAGCCACCAAATATGTATCCCCGCCTTTAATCTAGATCCTTTCTAGATCATACGCCACGATGTGTCTGGAGTAATCCTTCTAGAACAAAATCTGATGTCATCCTCCTGCTTAAAACCCTTCAGTGGCTTCTCATTACCTTTAGGTTAAAGTATAAACCCTATCACTGTGTTTGTATTACTCCTTATGACTCAGCCCTCACTTAGCTTATGAGGACTTCCTCGTGTCTGAGCTCCAGCCATAATAGCTGACTGCTGGATGAGTCATCTTGGGAGGTTCTTCTTCAGGCTTCAGATTGTTGGGCAGCCCTCTTGTCCTCAGCTAGGCTCACTCACACATCTGGGAGGCAGCTGCTTGAGGCCAGGATGACTCTGCTCCATGTCTCACATCTCCTATCCTCCTTGTACCCATATGTTTGCTGGGACATGTTCTCATAGCAACGGCAGGGGTACCAGAAAGTGATCCTGTTTGGGCAAATGCATTTTACTCTTTAACTCATATCCACTGACATTTCATTGGCCAAGCAAGCATGTGGGAAGCCCAAAGTCAAACTTGGACATGTTGCTGGGGAAGTGAATATTTCTGAGCAATAATCTAATCTATCACAGCTCAGATCTCACTCCTTGCCAGAAGCATCTCCTAAGCCTTAAGAAGTAGTTAGAACTTACACCCTGTTCTTCTCTGTGGTTTCTACCCATTTTACTATTGTTCTGCCCATTTAGAATGACAACTCTGTAAGCCAGCATTGCAGTCTGGCTTGCTTACCCAATATCACCTACCATGGTGCAGAGCACATAGGAAATACTCAACAAATATTTTCTGTAACAGCTAAGGAAGGACATCAGCAGAGAAAATAGCATCTATGCCAAAAGGTGACAGTGGACTCATTTCCATTCCATTGTTTTGCAATGTGGCTAGCCAAAAGCTTAGTGGATGCCACTCTCATAAGTAGACCTCACCTGCAGGGAAGAGATGGGGAGATTGGTGGGTTCTTTATTGCAGACTCCAGCAGGGCCACAATAATGATTGGAAGTGATGACACTAGAAGGACAAGTACCAATGGGTGATGAAGCCACAACGATGATGTCAAGTGATATCATTAGAAGGACATGTATTCATGGGTGATGAAGCCTACATGACCTTGGGCTTACACCAGGACCCTAGGAATGAAAGAGATTCCTTCTCGTAGTGGCTATGAGAGAAGGCCTATGATGTCTGAAGGAGGTTGGATTTGATTATTTTTAAGGGACTTTCAAATCTTGAGATCATGATTCAGATGGCAAGAAGTTTGCTCCATTAAAGTCCTGGGCACCACCCTTTCCAGAGACACCCTTAAAAAATTATTAGCTCTTGGGAAAATAGATGTGTCTTATTTTCTTTGTATCACTCAAAGTGCCATATATGAAGACTTATATATGGTATATGCTCACAACATTACTACTGAGTGAATGAACAAACAAATGAGGGAATGAATGAATGAACAAATGACTCATGGAAGGCTTTTCCGTGCCTTGTGAATTTGGCTTCTACTTGGTAAGAAGGTGATTGCAATCTTTGTTCTCAGGGTTCCCCAAGGATCCCTGTGTAACAGACGAAGGAATCACAGCTGTCAGGTAGAGTAGGTGACTGCATTCAGAGTATACACTTCCAGTCTTTCCTTTTCCTTTTGATGAATATTATAGAGAGGGAAGCCATGAATGGATTAGATACCAAAATCCCTGGCTGAGAGAATAACCTTACCCTGGAAGAAAACATATTAGCTTTGACTCTGAGCTAGGAATTTCAGTGATATTGTAGATTCAATGCATTGTGGTTGAATGTTTTTGTTGATAGGAATTGCTGAATTTTCAAATCCATTAACTGCTTGTCAGCATTAGCAAGCCTAGTTAGTTAATACCAAGTAAATCTGCACTAAATATACAACCCTGGGTGATTTTACTGGCCACGTCTGGCAGAGGGCAGTAGCAGTGAGAAAGCTCTGTAGTTTCTGCTGAAATTGTGTGAAAAGCTGGAGAGAGGTTGTTATTCTGCCGAAACCTTTGAACCCTCTCTCTGTCTCTCTGTCTCTGTCTCTCTCTCTCCCCTTCTCTTTCTCTCTGTCTCTCTCTCTCTCTCTCTCTCTCTCACACACACACACACACACACATATACAACAATATTTCAGTTCCTCACTACAGCCAATCTAAATCACAGAAACCTATTTTGTTAAATAATCTTGGCCCCAGACATATGTTGCTATGCAGAGAATTTCATACCAGATTTCATCCAACTGTAAATGTGAATCATCAGGTTTTGGGAGGAAGACACTGGCAGATCCAGGGGGCATTCAACTTTTACAGCATTTTAAATGAAAAAAATTTAAAAAGCAACACTTAAACAAGTAATTCAGATCATATTGTAGGCCCTGAATAGCCTTGATGTTGTGTTTTCATGGCAGGTCTCCAACCTGAGCTGAATTATCCCCTACTAAAAACACAAATTTTTCTAAGACATTCTTTTGAAATTTCAAGCTAGATAATAGTTGTTCTCCCCACAACTCCCACCACCAGTAGTGTGGTAGGGACAGCAGAATTGTGGCCAGCGGAGGAGAGCAGAGGAGGAGAGCAGGGAAAGGAGAATGCCATTTGCCTGCATTTCCCTGTGCCCATTTCCTGAACATTAACCGAGTTCTGGGCACTGTTTTAGGCTTGACAGAGGGCAGGATAAAGCCTGCTTCTCCAGGAATTCTCACGGAGTGTGTGAGTGTGTTCATGTGTGTGTTTAGAGGTGGGGAGAATAGACACAAATAAATAAAAAGAATTTCAGGTAGCAATAAGTGTGGTGAGAAAAACAGAACAGTGTGAAAGAGGAAGGCTGAGACTGCAGAGGCGTGAGGCCGCTACCACTGAGTAGCAGTGGGCGTTTCTGAGGAGGCGGCATTTGGAGATGGGAAGGGGATGCATCCCATCCAAGTAGGAATAACAAGTGCAGATCCCCTAAGTCTTGGGGGAGGTTAGTTTTTTAAGGGCAGCACAAAAATCAGTGTGGCTAAGGAGAGTGGGTTAGAGGAGACAGGCAGGAAGAGCTTGGAGAAGTAGATGGAAGCTGGACCACTTGGGCCTGGTAGAGCATGGAAAGACATTTAGATTGTATTCTGAGTTAAATGGGAAGCAACTCGAGAGATTTAACAAGGGATTGTCTTGATCTTGAACTGCTTTCCACATTTAAAATACTCACCCCTGCTTGGCTGGAAATCTCACGTTCTCATTTTAGATGCACTGGCAATCCTATCTGAAGGCATTTGGATCCTATTAGAGGGGAATAGGATCTCATTTGAGGCTGCGGAAGGCCACGGAAGTCACCTGCATAGCAAATACCCTGAAAGTGGCTGCAGGGAGAGTGTGAGGGTGGGACAGCCCTCGTAGGAGGTGGGACATGAAAACCACACAGCCATGAGTTTCAGATCAGGGCCTCTGAAAGCCCTCAGCTTTCCCAGCTGCCATCCTAAAATGGGTCTTTAAACAGGAAGAAACATTGGCTACCAAATGTCGTGGGAGTTCCTCTTCCTTCCCCTTCTAGGGATTTCAGCCCTCCTGGGGCTCGGGTTGGCTCTAAAGTGGTCCTCTCTGTGTCTTCCCACCCACAGTAACAAAGGCATGGAACATCTGTACAGCATGAAGTGCAAGAACGTGGTGCCCCTCTACGACCTGCTGCTGGAGATGCTGGACGCCCACCGCCTACACGCACCCACTAACCGCACAGGGGCGCCCATGGAGGAGACGGACCAAAGCCACTTGGCCACCGCCAGCTCTACTTCATCGCATTCCTTGCAAAAGTATTATATCACAGGGGAGACAGAGGGTTTCCCCACCACAATCTGAGAGCTCACCGGTTCCCCGCAAGGTTCAGAGAACCCCTGCAGCATTTTACCCTCATCATGCACCACTTTAGCCAAATTCTGTCTCCTGCATACACTCCAGCATGCATCCACCACCAACAGCTTTCTAGATGAGTGGCCATTCATTTGCTTGCTCCGGTCTTAGTGGCACATCTTTTGTCTTCTGTTGGGAACAGCCAAAGGGATTCCAGGGCTAAATCTTCGTAATAGCTCTCTTTCCCCCTTTGCTACGTTACTAAGCGTGAAGATTCCTGTAGCTCTTCACAGCTGAACTCAGTCTATGGGTTGGGGCTCAGATGACTCTGTGCATTTAAGCTACTTGTAGAGACCCAGGCCTGGAGAGCAGTCATTTTGCCTCTGATAAGCACTTTTTAAATGGCTGTAAGAATAAGCCAGAGCAAAGAATTTAAAGTGGCTCCTTTAATTGGCGACTTGGAGAAAGCTAGGTCAAGAGTTTATTTTAGCATCCTCGTTTATTCCTATGGCAATGCATCATTTCATGAAAGTGGTACACCTTAAAGCTTTTATATAGCCGTAGCAGAGTATCTGGTGATTTTCAATTCACTTCCCCTATGGGAATACAAGAGGCACACATGGAAGGCAGATACTCTAGTAGACAAGACTATTTTAACTTGATGCACTGCAGCTTCAGATGTGCTGAGAGCTCTGCCACTGGCTTTCCAGTCGTGGGTTCATTAACTCGTGCCTGCCATGGACCTATGGAAAGCAGCAAGTTGATCTTAGTTAAGTCTCCCTATATGAGGGATAAGTTCTTGATTTTTTGTTTTTACTTTTGTGTTATAAAAGGAAGCCCTCCTCCCCTAAACTTGCAGTAAAGTCAGCTTCAGGACCTGTTCTGGTGGGCGCTGTACTTGGATCTTCCCGGCATGTGTGTGCCTTACACAGGGGTGGACTTTTCACTGTGGTGACGCATGATGAGGGTAAAAGGTAGTTTAAAGGAGCAGGGGCCCCGGTGATGCATTTAGCCCTGGGGCATGGAGCCAAACAGTATGTGTGCAGGATCGCTGTGGCTGCTAGAGAACAAGAGGGAAAGCAGGGCAGAAACTGGATACAGTTCTGAGGCACAGCCGGACTTGCTCAGGGTGGCCCTGCCGCAGGCTGCAGCTACCTAGTAACATTCCTTGCAGACCCTGCATTGCCTTTTGGGGCTGCCCTGGGATCTCTGGGGTAGTCCAGCTCTTCTTCATTTCCCAGCGTGGCCCTGATTGGAAGAAGTAGCTGTCACAGCTGCCATAGACAGCTGTGTTCCTACAATTGGCCCAGCACCCAGGGGCAGGTGAGGAGGGTGGGGACTGTTGCTGTCACTACTCAGGCTGACTGGGTCCTGGTCAGATTACATATGCCCTTGGTTGTTCAGAGCTAATCCAAAATCAGGGTTTGGTTTTGAGAAGAAAATACCCACTGTCTCCCCTCCCCATTGCTCCCTCCCCTGCTAGCTCATTTCCTTCAATTTCCTTTGACCTATAGGCTAAAAAAGAAAGGCTCATTCCAGCCACAGGGCAGCCTTCCCTGGGCCTTTGCTTCTCTAGCACAATTATGGGTTCCTTCCTTTTTCTTAACAAAAAAGAATGTTTGATTTTCTCCGGGGTGACTGTATTGTCTATAATTCAAACCCTCTGAAGAGGTGATATATTTGTTAGCCAATGACCCAGGTGAGCTGCTAGGGCTTCTCTTGGTATGTCTTGTTTGGAAAAGTTGATTCTATTAGTTTCTGATTGTCCAGTTAAGTGATCACCAAAGGACTGAGAATCTGGGAAGGCAAAAAAAAAAAAAAAAAAAAAAAGGAAAAAAAAAGAAAAAAAAAGTTTTTACGTGCACTTAAATTTGGGGACAATTTTATGTATCTGTGTTAAGAATAAGTTTAAGAACATAATTCTTTTGTTGCTGTTCGTTTAAGAAGCACCTTAGTTTGTTTAAGAAGCACCTTATATAGTATAATATATATTTTTTTGAAATTACATTGCTTGTTTATCAGACAATTGAATGTAGTAATTCTGTTCTGGATTTAATTTGACTGGGTTAACATGCAAAAGCCAAGGAAAAATATTTAGTTTTTTTGTATACTTTTCAAGCTACCTTGTCATGTATACAGTCACTGATGCCTAAAGCCTGGTGATTATTCATTTAAATGAAGGTCACATTTCATATCAACTTTTGTATCCACAGTAGACAAAATAGCACTAATCCATATGCCTATTGTTGGATATTGAATGACAGACAATCTTAATGTAGCAAAGATTATGCCTGAAAAGGAAAATTATTCAGGGCAGCTAATTTTGCTTTTACCAAAATATCAGTAGTAATATTTTTGGACAGTAGCTAATGGGTCAGTGGGTTCTTTTTAATGTTTATACTTAGATTTTCTTTTAAAAAAATTAAAATAAAACAAAAAAAATTTCTAGGACTAGATGATGTATACCAGCTAAAGCCAAACAATTATACAGTGGAAGGTTTTACATTATTCATTTAATGTGTTTGTATTCATGTTAAGATACTACTATGTTTGAAATGGGCAGAGAACATCAGATGATTGAAATGTTAGCCCAGGGGTCTCCAGCAACTTTGGAAATCTCTTTGTATTCTTACTTGAAGTGCCACTAATGGACAGCAGATATTTTCCAGCTGATGTTGGTATTGGGTGTAGGAATAGGATAGAAAACTCTTGCCTCTGCTTTCCCCCGCTCTGAGGCAAGTTAAAATTTAAAAGATGTGATTTATCTGGGGGCTCAGGGTATGGTGGGGAAGTGGATTCAGGAATTTGGGGAATGGCAAATACAATAAGAAGAATATTGAAAGTATTTGGAGGCAAATTAATTCTGGCACCTGGGTGTGCACCAGGGTTCAGTAGTCCACTTCTGCCCTGGACACCACAAATAAACTAGCTCCATTTACAGCCATTTCTAAAATGGCAGCTTCAGTTCTAGAGAAGAAAGAACATCAGCAGTGAAGTCCAAGGAATAGCTAGTGGTCTGTGTTTCTTTTAGCCACTGCCTAGCTTGCTGTAATGATTCTGTAATGCCATCAATGCAGCAATTATGAGAGGCTAGGTCATCCAAAGAGAAGACTCTATCAGTGTAGGTTGCAAAATCTAACCCCTAAAGGAAGTGCAGTCTTTGATTTGACTTCCCTAGTAACCTTACAGTTATGTTGAACCATGCCATATTCCATGCCTTTTGGGGGCTGAACAAATAAGGGACTTACTGATAATTTACTTTTGATCACATTAAGGTGGTCTCATCTTGAAATCTTATACGTTGAGATGGCCATTGATTTAGGCCATTGGCTTAGAGTACTCCCTCCCCTGCATGACACTGATTACAAATCCTTTCCTATTCATACTTTCCAATGATGAGAGGGACTGTGGGTACTGGGAATGATCAGTAACACCATAGTCATGTCTAATATTCACAGGCAGATCTGCTTGGGGAAGCTAGTTGTGTGAAAGGCAAATAGAGTCATACAGTAACTCAAAAGGCAACCATCATTCTCTTTGGTGCAGGTCTTGGGAGGGTGATCTAGATGACTCTGCACCATTGCCAGGTTAATCCCCTGAAAACTTACTCTCAACTGGAGCAAATGAACTGTGGTCCCAAATATCCATCTTTTCAGTAGCGTTATTATGCTCTGTTTCTAACTGCATTTCCTTTCCAATTGAATTAAAGTGTGGTCTCGTTTTTAGTCATTTAAAATTGTTTTCTAAGTAATTGCTGCCTCTATTATGGCACTTCAATTTTGCACTGTCTTTTGAGATTCAAGAAAAATTTCTATTCTTTTTTTTGCATCCAATTGTGCCTGAACTTTTAAAATATGTAAATGCTGCCATGTTCCAAACCCCATCGTCAGTGTGTGTGTTTAGAGTTGTGCAACCTAGAAATAACATGTTGTCCCATGAGCAGGTGCCTGAGACACAGACCCCTTTGCATTCACAAAGAGGTCATTGGTTATAGAGACTTGAATTAATAAGTGACATTATGCCGGTTTATGTTCTCTCACAGGTAATAAACAATGCTTTTGTGCACTACATACTCTTCAGTGTAGAGCTCTTGTTTTATGGGAAAAGGCTCAAATGCCAAATTGTGTTTGATGGATTAATATGCCCTTTTGCTGATGCATACTATTACTGACGTGACTCTCAGTTTTGTCGCAGCTTTGCTTTGTTTAATGAAACACACTTGTAAACCTCTTTTGCACTTTGAAAAAGAATCCAGCGGGATGCTCGAGCACCTGTAAACAATTTTCTCAATCTATTTGATGTTCAAATAAAGAATTAAACTAGAGACAAGTTTGTTTTTTGTAAGCTTCACTTCTTGCTAGCAGTTCACCGCTGATCACCTAAAATCAAGCTGGTTAAAGGATCAGAGCACACAGTAAGTCTGAATGCTAAGGCCCCTCCTCACCTCACTCCCTCTGCCCAACACTCTCAGGTGTATCAGGACACCATGGTCAGGCAGATCTGGCCTCAACTCTTGGCTTCACCACTTACCTCACAAGGTTTATGATCATTGGCAATTGATTTTTCAGAGTTTCAGCTACCTTATCAACAATATGATGATAAACAATAACACCTAATTCACGGGATGGTGGTGAGGACTAAGTGAGGTGCTCATTAAACATAGTTGCTGTTTTCTAGTGCCTGGCCCGAACTCCTTCCCTTTGAGGAAGAAGAAGGACGCTTGAGAGTGGTTATTTATGAATGAATGAGTGAATGGATGAATGGGTAA